GCTACGGCTCCATGGGCCTGTCCATGCCGTACCCGGCGTCGTCCGGTTCCTACATGCTGCCCGACCCGGGGTTCGCCTCCACGTCGACTCAGAGTGAGTGACCGCCACGCTCTCTTTGTAGGCCGAGGTCCCGGCTCAGAGCGCGGTAATTACTAAAATATGTCAGTATTAATACTGGTGCAGAGGAAGCTTCCGAAACGTCGTCTAGTACATCGAATTGGTCTCAGAAAACGGCCTCGTAGGAAATTCGACCACTGTCACAAGGTTTTATAGAATAATTAAACTGTAAGAGCAGGTCCACTCCGAGCGCTGAAACCTGTTCCGTCGAGTGTCTAGAAACCACAAAAAGCAATAGACAGAAGGCGGCTGGCTGGCTTCGTCTCTATCCGCTGCCCGATGGATCTCAAAGCGCGTTGCTCGGTCTCAGGGCCTCCGACCGCCAGCGGAGAGCGAAGCAAAGCGACCGCGGGTGCTACTGCACTTGCCAAGAGCGACCGAGCACTGACAAAACCTTTGACGGTTCTTTATTTCGTGAGGCCGCGTGCCCTGGAAACGCGTCCGAGATTGTCAGCAACTTCAGACGAACAAAAAATCTGTTCTTTTTTTTCCGTCTGAAGTCGACGCTACTCAGAACTGAAAGTAAGTTGGCAAGGCCTCAGGTTCTCACGGCGGCTCGTTAGAAGATACCTTGTGCGCAGTCTCGTAAAAACGAACCGACGTTTCGGAGGTATATAGCACCTCCATCATCATAACGGTTAGGGCGATCACTGGCCTGACAATGGAGCCAGCCAGCCAGTCGTCTTCTCATCTCAGAGGTTCGAGTCCATCATCTTCAGGACCTTTCGCCTACCGACAGTCAAGTGGGCACACGTTTTTGAAACGGCTAGTACGGCCCCGCGCGCGAGGCGAGATTGTGACCTTTCGCCGGCCACCACAAAAAGCACCGCAGAAGTAAATGAGATTGCGGCTGCTGGCTGTCTGCTACTGTCCGTCCCAAAAACATATCGCTCCTGGCGTGCGGGGGGAAAAACTCCACTCGCAACATTCCGTTTCGACTTGTCGACGGATTTATACAGAATTTGGGAGTGTGGACCGGGGGAGGGGGGGGGGGGTCCTGATTTTTTTTTAACCTTGTTCAATGTAACCCGCGCTGTATGCGAAGTTCTCACAGATGTCACACCATGTGTCGCAGTTTCTGAGCACCACCACTCCACGGCGCTGTATTCGCATCACCACCAGGCCGCCATGCTCCAGGGGGCCATGGGAGGGCCCACGGGGGAGGCGCGCGCCCCCAGCACATCCAGCTACACGGCCATCGGCGCCAGCTCATACCCTCCCCAGGTAAGTGAGACACAGCGAACAGTCAGGGCCGAGTTTCGCAAGCGACACGCTCTATTAGAGGGAAGCAAGGAAGTTCGTCCACGAGTAAAAGTAACTTAAGCTCGCGTTTCGTCACCAGATTACAGTGGGGCAAAATTATCTTAGGGTGGCTAATAAGTCCTTTGAAAGGGTTACAAAGTTCAAATATTTGGGAACAACAATAACAAATCAAAATGACACTCATGAGGAAGTTAGGAGGAGACTCAATTCCGGAAATGCTTGCTACTTCTCAGTCCAAAATATTTTGGCTTCCGGTCTGATTTCTAAGAACCTGAAAATTAAAGTATACAAAACAATAATCTTGCCTGTTGTTTTGTATGGGTGCGAAACATGGTCTCTCACTCAGAGGGAGGAACACAGATTGCAGGGTTTTGAGAATCGGGTGTTGAGGAGGATATTTGGGCCTAAGAGGGAAGACGATGGGGCGTGGAGAAAACTGCACAATGACGAGCTTAAAAATCTGTACTGCTCCCCCAGTATTGTCAGGGTGATTAAGTCGAGAAGAATGAGATGGGCTGGGCATGTAGCGCGCATGGATGGGACAAGAGGGGTGCACCGGGTACTGGTTGGGAAACCTGTCTGTCGCGCCGGAGAACGAACAAGGGCCGAGGGTGTCTGAGGACGGAGTGCAGGGAAGGGAGGGGCAAGCCTGAGAGGAAGAATCCACTCTGACGAACTAAGCGTAGATGGGAGGATAATATTAGAATGGCTCGGGGTCCGTAAACGTCCGAGCGCTGGTTTCCCATGGAGTCAGTCGGTGAGCAACATTCGCAGCCACAACTTGCAAAACTGAGAGGACGGAAGGACGAAGTTACGTTCTGGTCATGGATTCCTGACGTCACGCGCGCGTCGGAGCGTAGCGCGTTCACACCTTTCCGCACAAGTTGGCGCGCTTTCCCTGAACGGTCCGCCTCACAATCAACCGTTACGTGATGCGGTTGTGTGTAGCAATGTTAGTGCCGCGAGAAAACGTCTGTCCCCTTCAGACGCAGGCGACTTAAATGTTTCAAAAGAGAACGCTCTGTGTTTCTTGGACAACCGTTTCGTCAAACAGATGACCGGGCCCTCATGATTGAGGCATCAAGCACCTCTGAAACGTCGGCGACTTCTACCAGACTGCACGGCGCAACAGTCCAGAAGACAGCCGGATGGACCCTACAAATCCAACTGCTTCCTTATGTTTCAGATATCGGCCACCAGTGGGCACCATCTCAACCAGTCACCCCCGCCATCTAGTGGTAGCAGTATGAACTACCAGGCCTCGCATCAACTGCCCCCTGGCCCCGCCAGCCTAACCTTAATGGGAGCCGTGGCCCCCAGTACCACAGGTTCGCATCCCGTCTCCACCTAACCATTCGTGGTTTTAATATTTTGCTGTTGTGACATCACCAGGGTTGAACAAAACTATAATATCAAGTTATTTAAACCCTTTGAAAAATCTGGCAAAGTTGAAATATTTGGTAACCAAACTAACAAATCAGAATTGCATTCTGGAGGAAACTGCATGTAATTTGACGTATTTTTTGTATGGGTGTGAAACTTGGCTTGCTTGCCACACTGGCCTTCAAGTTAAATTACTAGAGACAGAACCTGGCTGCAGGCACTTTCGTAAACATTCATAGCTTCAAAGAATATTCAAAAAAAAAAAAAAAAAAAAAAAAAAAGAAATGTACAGATACTAATTAGATGTATATTTCGTGTTAATCGCTTGTGACAAATATTTCTACTTCATGTAAATTACAGAGTGCATCAGACCGATACAAGTTTAAATGAAAACCTGCATTTCAGATCTCAGCGTAGTTCCACCTCACGATTGTTTTGCATGTTCGCCAGGCGACGCTGACCAGGCGGTCCCTCCGACACCCGACATGAGCCCCAGCACCGCGTGGGCCCCCATGACCTCCGCCCCGTCGTCTGCTCAGCCCCACCAGCACCAGCACCACCGCAACATGGCCACGCCACCCCCCACCAATCTCATGAACTCTAACCATACGAGTGTGGCTGCTGGGATAACGAGCTTTGGCCACCAACCTGGGTTCATGCCCCAGAGCAGGCCCCACCACCACCACCACCACCAGCCCTTCTACTCCTGGTACTAGGCACAACGAGCTCTGTTAGACTGCGCAAATAGTGGCTCCGTTTGAGACGCAGGCAAAGACAATACTTGATTCTGTAAATTGGACGCCATCCACTGTCTGTAGTATATTTCATACGCACGACAATTTGACAGCTGGCACTACTCTCTCTCTCTCTCTCCTCCTCGCACTGACTGGAAAACACGTTACGACATTACGAAGAGACAAAGGGACGGACAGACAGACTACACACAACATGAATAATCAGTATTAAATTAATTATTCGGTATTGTCCGTCTAAAAACAATTATATTTAAAATTTAATATTTTCAAATAAGATAATTAAAATATCATTGTATGTTCCACATCGAATAATCGATTTTCATTTGGAACATTCCAAATATTAAATTAATTATTCGGTATTGTCCGTCTAATCACAATTATATTTAAAATTTAATATTATACAAATAAGATAATTAAAATATCATTGTATGTTCCACATCGAATAATCGATTTTCATTTGGAACATTCCAAATATTAAATTAATTATTCGGTATTGTCCGTCTAATCACAATTATATTTAAAATTTAATATTATACAAATAAGATAATTAAAATATCATTGTATGTTCCACATCGAATAATCGATTTTCATTTGGAACATTCCAAATATTAAATTAATTATTCGGTATTGTCCGTCTAATCACAATTATATTTAAAATTTAATATTATACAAATAAGATAATTAAAATATCATTGTATGTTCCACATCGAATAATCGATTTTCATTTGGAACATTCCAAATATTAAATTAATTATTCGGTATTGTCCGTCTAATCACAATTATATTTAAAATTTAATATTATACAAATAAGATAATTAAAATATCATTGTATGTTCCACATCGAATAATCGATTTTCATTTGGAACATTCCAAATATTAAATTAATTATTCGGTATTGTCCGTCTAATCACAATTATATTTAAAATTTAATATTATACAAATAAGATAATTAAAATATCATTGTATGTTCCACATCGAATAATCGATTTTCATTTGGAACATTCCAAATATTAAATTAATTATTCGGTATTGTCCGTCTAATCACAATTATATTTAAAATTTAATATTATACAAATAAGATAATTAAAATATCATTGTATGTTCCACATCGAATAATCGATTTTCATTTGGAACATTCCAAATATTAAATTAATTATTCGGTATTGTCCGTCTAATCACAATTATATTTAAAATTTAATATTATACAAATAAGATAATTAAAATATCATTGTATGTTCCACATCGAATAATCGATTTTCATTTGGAACATTCCAAATATTAAATTAATTATTCGGTATTGTCCGTCTAATCACAATTATATTTAAAATTTAATATTATACAAATAAGATAATTAAAATATCATTGTATGTTCCACATCGAATAATCGATTTTCATTTGGAACATTCCAAATATTAAATTAATTATTCGGTATTGTCCGTCTAATCACAATTATATTTAAAATTTAATATTATACAAATAAGATAATTAAAATATCATTGTATGTTCCACATCGAATAATCGATTTTCATTTGGAACATTCCAAATATTAAATTAATTATTCGGTATTGTCCGTCTAATCACAATTATATTTAAAATTTAATATTATACAAATAAGATAATTAAAATATCATTGTATGTTCCACATCGAATAATCGATTTTCATTTGGAACATTCCAAATATTAAATTAATTATTCGGTATTGTCCGTCTAATCACAATTATATTTAAAATTTAATATTATACAAATAAGATAATTAAAATATCATTGTATGTTCCACATCGAATAATCGATTTTCATTTGGAACATTCCAAATATTAAATTAATTATTCGGTATTGTCCGTCTAATCACAATTATATTTAAAATTTAATATTATACAAATAAGATAATTAAAATATCATTGTATGTTCCACATCGAATAATCGATTTTCATTTGGAACATTCCAAATATTAAATTAATTATTCGGTATTGTCCGTCTAATCACAATTATATTTAAAATTTAATATTATACAAATAAGATAATTAAAATATCATTGTATGTTCCACATCGAATAATCGATTTTCATTTGGAACATTCCAAATATTAAATTAATTATTCGGTATTGTCCGTCTAATCACAATTATATTTAAAATTTAATATTATACAAATAAGATAATTAAAATATCATTGTATGTTCCACATCGAATAATCGATTTTCATTTGGAACATTCCAAATATTAAATTAATTATTCGGTATTGTCCGTCTAATCACAATTATATTTAAAATTTAATATTATACAAATAAGATAATTAAAATATCATTGTATGTTCCACATCGAATAATCGATTTTCATTTGGAACATTCCAAATATTAAATTAATTATTCGGTATTGTCCGTCTAATCACAATTATATTTAAAATTTAATATTATACAAATAAGATAATTAAAATATCATTGTATGTTCCACATCGAATAATCGATTTTCATTTGGAACATTCCAAATATTAAATTAATTATTCGGTATTGTCCGTCTAATCACAATTATATTTAAAATTTAATATTATACAAATAAGATAATTAAAATATCATTGTATGTTCCACATCGAATAATCGATTTTCATTTGGAACATTCCAAATATTAAATTAATTATTCGGTATTGTCCGTCTAATCACAATTATATTTAAAATTTAATATTATACAAATAAGATAATTAAAATATCATTGTATGTTCCACATCGAATAATCGATTTTCATTTGGAACATTCCAAATATTAAATTAATTATTCGGTATTGTCCGTCTAATCACAATTATATTTAAAATTTAATATTATACAAATAAGATAATTAAAATATCATTGTATGTTCCACATCGAATAATCGATTTTCATTTGGAACATTCCAAATATTAAATTAATTATTCGGTATTGTCCGTCTAATCACAATTATATTTAAAATTTAATATTATACAAATAAGATAATTAAAATATCATTGTATGTTCCACATCGAATAATCGATTTTCATTTGGAACATTCCAAATATTAAATTAATTATTCGGTATTGTCCGTCTAATCACAATTATATTTAAAATTTAATATTATACAAATAAGATAATTAAAATATCATTGTATGTTCCACATCGAATAATCGATTTTCATTTGGAACATTCCAAATATTAAATTAATTATTCGGTATTGTCCGTCTAATCACAATTATATTTAAAATTTAATATTATACAAATAAGATAATTAAAATATCATTGTATGTTCCACATCGAATAATCGATTTTCATTTGGAACATTCCAAATATTAAATTAATTATTCGGTATTGTCCGTCTAATCACAATTATATTTAAAATTTAATATTATACAAATAAGATAATTAAAATATCATTGTATGTTCCACATCGAATAATCGATTTTCATTTGGAACATTCCAAATATTAAATTAATTATTCGGTATTGTCCGTCTAATCACAATTATATTTAAAATTTAATATTATACAAATAAGATAATTAAAATATCATTGTATGTTCCACATCGAATAATCGATTTTCATTTGGAACATTCCAAATATTAAATTAATTATTCGGTATTGTCCGTCTAATCACAATTATATTTAAAATTTAATATTATACAAATAAGATAATTAAAATATCATTGTATGTTCCACATCGAATAATCGATTTTCATTTGGAACATTCCAAATATTAAATTAATTATTCGGTATTGTCCGTCTAATCACAATTATATTTAAAATTTAATATTATACAAATAAGATAATTAAAATATCATTGTATGTTCCACATCGAATAATCGATTTTCATTTGGAACATTCCAAATATTAAATTAATTATTCGGTATTGTCCGTCTAATCACAATTATATTTAAAATTTAATATTATACAAATAAGATAATTAAAATATCATTGTATGTTCCACATCGAATAATCGATTTTCATTTGGAACATTCCAAATATTAAATTAATTATTCGGTATTGTCCGTCTAATCACAATTATATTTAAAATTTAATATTATACAAATAAGATAATTAAAATATCATTGTATGTTCCACATCGAATAATCGATTTTCATTTGGAACATTCCAAATATTAAATTAATTATTCGGTATTGTCCGTCTAATCACAATTATATTTAAAATTTAATATTATACAAATAAGATAATTAAAATATCATTGTATGTTCCACATCGAATAATCGATTTTCATTTGGAACATTCCAAATATTAAATTAATTCAGGCGAACCCTTCATTTCACGTAATTACCAGTCAACGACGTTACCAGTATTTGTCTAAATTTGATCACTTCTGTTTATAATGAGTGAATGCAATGAGTGAGGTTTCAACCTCCCTCTAAACATTCCGTCGTGTTACAGCCCTGACATAAAAAAATTACAAAATTGAGTGGAACCTGCGATGTCATAACCAAAATCCGATCCACAGTCAGGTTTCAAGATCTTAAAACAGAACAGAGAATTATCGGACTTAATAAAGAAAACAGGCTCTGGATAGACAGATTTCTGGAAAATTTTGCGTTCAGTGTCCCTACTGAGATCTGACACAAAAGCCTAAATGCATCTCAAACAAGCGCCGAGCAGACCGAAAGTGGGCACGTGACGTGACTTCTGTGAATTCATGAACTACAGCAAAATAAGTGGGAAATCTCCTCCGCTTTCCACAGGGACTAACACACACAGGCCTGAAGACAGTTCAGGATGACTACGGAACGGAGGCGACGAGTCTGTGAGAAACGTTGCAAGATGACACGACCCTGAACACCGAGATCAGCGGAGAGCACAGACCGAAGGACTTCGCATTTGAGAGACGACATCTGTAACTGAGACTGCTTGAGGTCTTCCTCTCTCACTCGCTTGCAGTGCAGACCTCCCTTTCTGCACCAACTTGAAAGTGTATGTCAGTGCTACAGACAGGGCTGTCCAACATCAGAGAATTAACTGCAATGATGAATTTCTTCGCATGCAATGGTTCCCAAATTGTGGTCCAAGAGATGTTTCAAAGATGCTGTTAAAACAATTACAATCTTCTGTCTGTGTGCATGCAGTTTCTTGCCGTGAGTTCTCGTTCCACCGCGGAAAAGTCTAGTTCGCAGTGGCCTCTTTTCTTTGCATAAGCGAGACTTGGAGTAATGAGACGGGAAGAGAGACTGGAGATGTAAAAAAAATTGTTTTGGGATTGGAATTTGTGAATTATGGGGCACAAGAATCGACTTCATATCTGTAAATAAAGACAGGGAAAGGAAGTGCCCTGCTACACAGAACTGGCCATTTTAATAATATCCACCAACATTTTGTATTCGTGCTATACGTCCAACCTATCAAAACCTCCAACTTAATAACACCAAGAGCAATCCTTGATGTTTGGTCTTCATCTTCCGCTCACTTCACGTCTTGAAGGCACAGAGTGAGAGACGAGATAAAAACAAACATTTCTCTCATCGCCTCTTGTGCGTGGACACACGATCAGGACACGAGTTCTTAGTTACTTAAATCTCACCATAGACTAGTATGGCAGTGGGATCACCGTCTGTTGGAATGTATCACAATCACCGAATAAAGTTATTTATCACATTCCTCTCTTATTTCTACCCCGACATCCCACAGAGCATTTCTCTCAGGACGAGCAGGCATTGGCACAGTCACGTGATGTTCACTGGAGAGGTTTCCGGTCCTACTGGAAATCCAGTTTGTTACTTTATAACACTGTATCAACTGAGGTACTAAACCTTCCAGCACTGCTCCATGACCAAGGAAATTCCACATAAACTATCCAGGACTTTTCCTGGAATTCTCCCGGACATCCCCATACCACACCCTCATTCTTCATCTCACACACAGTGCCATAGGAACCTGATACTTCACCCAATACAAATGTTACAGAGTGTTAATGGTGGAAGACCGTCTTAATTGTTTTAGGGATTTTGTTTATTTTTGCTGTATTCTCTGTATCGTGGTACATAACCCTGCCAAAGGCGTTTAGAAATCGATAAAGACTGCAAGTGCCGATTGTACTCAAAAGACGTAAAATGGTAAATAATTTAAGAAAAACAATTTTTTTTACTGTCCCACAAATTACAAAAATCGTGGAGTTATCCACTTTTCGCGTCCAGGTCTTCAATTGGGACAATTTCCCTACGACTGGAAACGGAAACCATAAATTATTTTAAGGTCTGAAAGAAAGTGGATTCTTCTTCAGGCGCTGATTAGAAGGCGCCGGGAACCGAGCGACACGCCATTGTCGTCGTCCCTGGTGCGGATTCCAGTCTTCGTTTAATCGAAGGCGTCAGTTTACAAGCGAGAGACACTCACGAATGGAAGGTTGTTTGTGCTTTGTCGTCGTCATTACAAGAAAGAGACACTCACGAATGGAAGGTTGTTTACGTAACAAATAGCACCCAACCCAAATGCAGATCCCCTTAAATATTTCAGCGTTCCCACAAGAACCCTCGACAATCAGAGCCTCTGAAACAACACGGCCATGCACATTTAATGACGCCTGAGGCGACGGAAAAGAATTTGCAAGTGAGTCTGATTGCAGTCAGCTAGCTCGTCGTCGCCATGGCAGTGGACGAAAGAACCGAGAGTCGTTTCCGCGTCTTCCGGGTGCTGTTCTACCTGACGGGGAACCCGATCCTGAGCACCTCTGCGCCGTCCAAGGCCTACCGCGCGTACTCGGTCGTCACTTTGACGTGCGTCTTCGTGACGTCTCTCACCATGAGCC